TGCACAAGTGCAAGCCGCAACGATCCGGATTCGGCAAGCCGCCCTTCGCTGTCGGCCATATGCGACTACTGTGGCAGGGGGGCGGTACAGGCAAATTCAATTACAGCAATCTCTCATTGGCCCACGAAGCCAACCTACGTAGGCTGCAGACTTCTCGTGACGTACTTAGAGGAGGAGGAGTTGGTCGGATGAAACGTCCATGCATCATCATCCTCATGTTTGCAATGCTGCATGTTGGTGGTGGTGGTGGGGGCAGTGTGAATGCCACGACCTCGTCACCTCGGCACTAAAATAAACCAAGTCACGCTGCCGGATTTTTTCCCCCATACCTCTTCAGGCACTCGCTTGGCCCTCATGCTGTGGACCTGTTCCAAATACGCTAATTATCTTTCTAACCAATGCAATTATGTGCTGGCAAACCGTGATAGTAAAATGCGACAAAATCAACTTTGCACTTACAATGTTGCACTTGAAGCCAAAACTCGAATTTCAACGACGAATCTGCACCGGTGGGCGTACCATAATCGGGGCACGTTCAATGTGTTCAAAGTGACACATCAGCAGTTGGCACCATACAGTGCATACCTTTTACGAGCTGGCTACGCGATACAGGTCGATAAAAAAAAGGAACTTCAACGAAATTAGTCGTCCTACATGGCCTCTGTTGGCACAAGGCTGCCCGCTCCTCAATTTGCCAAGCGCATCCCGTGTGGTCGCATCCCCCACCCCCGCTAAGCCCTTCGTTACAAAACGGTGATACGCTGCCATGTTAAGGCCTCTCTACGAACGTAGCATTATGCAAGAGGCCCATTCTTTTGCCCTGTCGGCCACACAAGCCATCGGTATGCCTCCGCATGAAATACGACCAGCACATTCAGAAGTCACACAAAATGTGTAAACTTTGAAGAGGGGGGAAAAAGTCACGTATAACACCGCAGTCTATATACTCTGCACCAACCGTGTGCACAGCAATCCAAAGAACGACACTCTACATTCAAGTGGCCCGGGGTTAGGTGTGGGCATGTTGCTCATCACATGCAAGGCTAATTCTGAACTTCACTGGAACACGGTGAAAATTCACAAGACTACGTATTGGTTAAGTTGGTTGCAGATTTTATGGCCAATTTTGATTTAAATTGTAATCTGAGGTTACAAGCACTAATTAATGGGCTAGAATGTTTAACTTGTTGCTCATTGAAGCAATGTTTGTTGGGTAAAGTAGATATTGGGGGTGGAGTGTTGGCGCAACGGTTAGCAAGGCTGCACTTGAGTTTTCATTCTAAGCCATGGCGAATATCATTGCTAACTGTCATCAGCCAGTGTCCATTATGTTGGATGAAGGTCTCCACCCACGACATCCCTTAACGGTAACGCAATTGCACAATTCACCTCGGTCCTGCACGAAGTCGTTGTCTGCTTGGCCACGTTCTCTCCTTTGGCTGCCATTTTGTGACCAGTCTAATTCCATCAGCCCAACAACCCTTCTCGCCATGTGTTCTGCCCAAGCCAACATACTTTCCTTGGCAAACAAATTGCATTTGTTCCTTCGATCTACGTGTTTCCAGTCTATCCGTGCAATTGTAAAACAAATAGTATCTCCGTGCTTATTTCCACTATTTGTCAATGTTTCTCATCCATGTCACAGCAGGTAATGCAGACTTACTGAAAATGTTAGTCAAGTATAATGGTGTTACTTTTAATGATCAAAAATCAGTTTTAGATATTTTTACATCCAGTAATCCTGATTTGGCTTCAATTATTGTCCTAGGTATACAAGTTATTGTTTTTCAGTTGTGTCCCTGCAACTATTATTTCCTTTTATTTAGAAATATTGTTGAACACGACTTTTGCGTTTATCACATTCATTTTAGCTCACATTCTGCCTTCTTTCCAAGGTTATTCGACCATTTTGTTTAGTACATATGTATTGCTTGTTATAATAACCAACACTTTATTCCACGATGCACACACCATATCACACTTTATAAATGATCAATAGGGCTGCCTTAGCAGCAAAACTATCAATTATCCATAAGCTTCGTCTTAGGCTTCATGAATGCTCGGGCATGGACGGCATATTTCCTGGCTCTCCCCAGGGACGTGGAACCCCATGGGTAAGACACACTTCCCACCCGTATCCATCCATCTCCCTCTTGTCATTTGTCTCGCAAGGCGGCGGTGTTCCGAGCTCACATTGTAGAGACTCTCTCCCTCATGACTCACTCACTGTACACACGCCAAACTCGAGCCAAGTATTTACCTCTATGGCACACCTTTCCGTATAATGGACTACACTTGATAAGGCAATCTGCTCAATAATTACCATGTCGTCCTTCACCTCCTAGATGTACGGTACGTGAATTCTACCTTACCTATTGTGCAACGTGTATATCTGTGTACTGTACAATATACACGCATCTATGCTGCTATATAGCATTGGGTATGCGCGTGGTCCTGTGTACCCTGAAGCAGTTATGGGCCTACTCCACCAGGTGTGATCTATCAACATCAACACTGGGGAGACAAAGGCGGCCGGACGTAAATGTTGGCCACCCACCCCCTAGTGTGCCGCGCCGGCCTTCATAGGTGCGCCTCGCGAACACCACTTCCCACAAGTCTTGTTAAAGGCGAAACGAGAGGAGGGGGGGGGGGTCTTTGTGTCTCGTGCCATGCAGCAATCAAGACAGATTATTCAGCGCAAGTTTCCAAATCTGGCAGCTTTGTGTGTTTTATTTTGGCGAATGACTACTGTACATTACTGTGCTTTTATTTTACACCGGGGGATGTCCACTGCGATTCGTCATCTCGTACGAGGGAGGTCTGGGTTCCCATAGCTACGTCGAGTTGGTGGTTTTTACATCCGCGTCTACTCGCAGTGACGTCGCATATTGTAGACGTACAGCATTCCTGCATATACATTGACTAAATAATGACACACATCAGCTAAATGTATAGCGCAGGGGTCGGAAAACCTGTGGCTCGGGAGCCGCATGCGGCTCTTTGTGGACTGCTTCGTGACGTTATTAAGGACCGTCTCATATTCACATGCATTACGGTTCCTGATATACTGACGTTTTTTTTTCTTCCGAATTCGAAAGAAATTTTTTACTTTTGGTTGCCGACCAGCTTGTATAGCGTGAACAGTAGTCTCCGATAAATAATAAATACTTTGAAGTAGCCCCACGTGAAGGGTGACGTGGCTCCGTCATTATTTAAACGTTCCCCTCTTCAGCTCATCGCGTTATCACCCCAGGAATGTACATAAACTAGCACCATAAAATGTACGTATGTTGAACTTCTTTCGCACCGCACGTAGCAAACGTGTGTGTGTGTACTCGGCACCCCATCCTCCTCGACATGACACACAAACCCAACCAATATCGCCTATATTCCACCCACAAACGCCACGTGTCCGGCGTCTTTATGCCAAACGGCTCCAGTCTACTGTGCTGCCACCCTCTCGCCCAGCAAATCACCCCACGCAGGGGTCAAAGGGCAGTAAGTCACCTGATCGGTGGGTCATAGGGAGATTCGTGGGGGTTAGGAGAGGGCATGAGATGGCGAGGACGAATTCTCGCGTGAAGCCCTCTCGTGACGAGCAGACCTCGAAATCGGCATTTTAAGCTTTATTTATTTATTTTAGTTTACCAAGTCCCACTGAGCGTTTGCTCTTTGTTCAGAAGCGACCTGGCCACAAATTATGGCTTTAACGAAGTGGCCTTATCGCGTGGACATTTAGAGTAGCAGACAAATACTCTCAACGCATATTGAGTCTAAATGTGGAGGGGAGAACCCGGACGGCCAGGAGAAAAATCCACGCCACTACGGGGAGACACCGCAAACTCAATACAGCAGGCGTCAGGGTCGAACCTACGACCTCCTTGCATACCAGGCCATAGTTAACATCTCGCCACCGCGGCTCCCCGGAACAGACACGTCTATTTCCATGCATGTATGTATGTTTGAACTTTCCCCCCCCCCCCACAGTACGTTGCCAACCGCGCCAATCGGAGGTGCCATATCATCACCACGCAAGAAACGAGGAAAGGAATAGATGGGAAGCCGCTTGTGGTGGACTCGGGGGGGGGTAAGAGAGCGCGGATCGAGCGTTCGTGTCGCAGGGTGGCAGCATTCAGGGGTCGCGTCCGGAGAGAGTTGCGCGGGATGCGATCTTGGGGTGGCCGGCAAGGACGGAGCGGGCACGAGGGGAGTGGATGGCGGTGCCGAGGGGTGGCGGCGCCGACGGTAATCGGCCAGAGAGTGAGACTCGGAGGCAGATTGTGAGTTGGGGTGAGGGTTGGGAGGGTACTGCGCGAGTAGGAGGTGATGGTAGACGGTGGTAAGTTGGGCCTGGATGTGGCGTGATGATTGGGTTGGGGTAAGAGACGCCGAGTAAGTTGGTTGCGAGGTTACAAGGGTGGCATGTAGGGAGCGAGCAAGATGGTGTGTGGCGGCGGTGGTGGCAGTGAGAAATGAGGGTGGGTGGCGAGTTAAGACTTAACTAGTTGGGGTGGGTGGCGAGTTAAGACTTAACTAGTTGGGGTGGGTGGCGAGTTAAGAGATGGTTGGGGCAAGTAGCCAGTTGGTGTGGTGAGGGGAGTGTAAGTGGTAGGGTTGATTGTAGTAGAGTGGAGCGGTAGTGGGGTGGGTTAGCTCACTACGAACCCGGCGAACACAGTTAGATTCCCGCTCACGGTCAATAGCAGTGACGATTATCTGAACATGGTCCTGGGCCTCCCCAAGGCCGACTCAGCCTCAAATGAGTACCTGGTGCGGAGTGTAAACTCCACCACTCGGGAAGCAAAGGCGGCCGGGCGTGGTGCTGGCCACCCACCCACCCCATCGTGTGCCGTGCCGGCCTTCACAGGTGCTCGCTAACAGTCTGTTAAAGTGTTAAGGCTATAGGAGGGGCTGGGGGGGGTAGGTGGTGGTCTGTGGGGCAGGTGGCGAGGTGGTTGGTGGCGAGCCTGTGGGGTGGCGAGCTATGCACGCGTCGTCACCTGTGGCTGCTGCCATCGCTGGTGGAGACGCGCGACCTCCCGCGCGCAGCCGACGCCGACGCCGTCGTCGGAGGAGGAGGCCGCGCTCCTCGCAGCGCTACCACGAACCCGCGCACGGGGCCGCTCCTCGCCATGGCCGCGCGCCGCCCTCTCCTCCTTCTTCTTCCCCTTCTCCTCCTCCTCCTCCCCTGTGCACTGCCGGCTGTCTCTCGCCGCCTCTCCCCCTTGCTTAGCGTGTGTCGTGCGTCGTGTCCGCCGCGGCGTTGCCCGTGGTTCACGCTGCGGCGCTGCCCCCGCCTCTCGCTGCCGCCTCGAACCGTCGCCGACTCCGAGTGACCGCGCGCCGGTCCGGGGAACGGCAGTTACGTTAATCGTGGGGAGTGTGACGTCACCACGCATGCTAATGAGCATGCGTGGTGACGCAATACGCCGTCGCTGCGCGGTGACGTCAAACCCCCTCCCCCTACCCGCTTGGCGCGAACGTTGAGGAGTGTAGAGCGCATGCGCGGGGACTTCCACCGCCCCTGCCACCCCCTTTCCACCCCCCCCCCCTTTCACCCCCCCTTCCACACCCCCCTATCCACCCCCCCTGCCACCCCCTTTCCACCCCCCTTCAACCCCCCCTTCCACCCCCTTTCCACCCCTCCCCCGTCCACCCCCCCTGCCACCCCCTTTCCACCCCCCTTCCACTCCCCCCTTTCACCCCCTTTCCACCGCCCCTTCAACCCCCCCCCTTCCACCCCCCCTGCCACCCCCTTCCGCCCCCCTTTCCACCCCCGCTTCAACCCCCTCCTTCCGCCCCACCCCCCCCTTTCCACCCCCTTTCCACTCCCCCCCCTTCCACCTCCCCTTCCACCCCCCCTGCCACCCCCTTCCGCCCCCCTTTCCACCCCCGCTTCAACCCCCTCCTTCCGCCCCACCCCCCCCCCCTTTCCACCCCCTTTCCACTCCCCCCCCTTCCACCCCCCCCCCCCGTCCACCCCCCCTGCCACCCCCTTCCGCCCCCCTTTCCACCCCCTGTCCAACCCCCCCCTTCAACCCCGTCCTTCCGCCCCACCCCCCCCCCTTTCCACCCCCTGTCCACCCCCCCCCTTCAACCCCGTCCTTCCGCCCCACCCCCCCCCGTCTACCCCCCTGCCACCCCCTTCCGCCCCCCTTTACATCCCCTGTCCCCCCCCCATCCACCCCCTTCCGCCCCCTTCCACCCCCCCCTTTCCACCCCCTATCCACCCCCCTTCCACCCCCATGCCACCCCCATGCCACCCCCTTGCACTCCCCTTGCACCCCTCTTCCACCTCCTTCCCCCCCATTCGACCCCCCCTTCCACTCTCTCCTTCCGACCCCCCTTTCCGTCCCCCTTCCACCCCTATCTTCCACCCCCCCCATTCCACCCCCGCATGCCACCCCCCTTCCACCCCCCTTTCCACCACTTTCACACCCTCTGACTTATGATTAATTAATGAGTCTCCTATTACAATCTAGTTTAGTTGTATGTCAGAATCAGAATATGTATTTTTACTGGAGAAATCCGATGAGTTATGAAGCTCTTTTTCACAGATGTCCAATCGGGGCACGTCAGAACGTTACAACAAATAATACAAAAAAGACATGACGGGAGCGCAAAGCATAGGAAAGGTAAACAAATCTCTTAAAATATATACAAATAACGCTAAGACACCTATTAGCAACATCAGTAAGAATGAGCGCTTTGAGCTTTCTCAATAAAAAATATAGAGATGACATCGTCATCCTCTCAGCCGACAAGGGCAATGCCACTGTCATCATGGACAAAACCACATACAACAACAAAATTCAGGACCTACTTAATGATGGTAGCTATACCAAAATCAATAGAGATCCCACCAATTGCCTGGTTACGAAAACCAACAATATCACTGAACCAATCAAGCGATTTTCCTTAAAACCCTCTGCTGCTAGACCACCCAGATTGTATGACTTACCAAAAATCCATAAAGAAGGTACACCACTTCGTCCTATCGTCTCCACCATTGACTCACCCACCTACAAACTGGCCCAATTTCTGTCTGAGACCTTACAACCATTCACTGGTAAGACCACCTCAGCTGTACTCAACTCAGCTTACTTGGTATCGTTAATTAAGGACATCTCACTATCTCCAGGTGATTTGCTCGTTAGTTTCGATGTAGTATCTTTTGTTTACCAAAGTCCCTGTGCCTGACACCATTGCAATCATTGAAGATTTGGTCCAACAAGGACTGAATGCTGATGTACCGGCCCTGTTTAAACACTGTCTCACCAACACTTACTTCACCTGGAATGGAACATTCTACAAACAAGTTGAAGGTACCCCAATGGGTTCTCCCTTATCTCCAGTTGTAGCCAATGTTTCCACAGAAAATTTGAGACAGATGCCATCCAGGCATCCACTTTACGTCCGTCCTTGTGGAAGAGGTACGTAGATGACACATTTGTCATCTGGCCACATGGCCTACCAGCTCTGAACCAATTCCTCAACCACATCAATTCCATACACCCAGCCATCAAATTTACCATGGAGGTGGAAAAGGATGACAAGTTACCATTCTTGGATGTCTTAATCGAAAAGAAACCAGATGGCTCAATGGGACACTCTGTCTACAGGAAAGCCACCCATACGGATGCCTACTTAAAACCTGACTCCCACCACCATCCATCCCAGAAGAATTCCCTCATCAAAACTCTACACCATAGAGCTCAATGTTTTTCCGACCATCACCACCTAACCAGTGAACTGGTACACGTACACCAAGCCCTCAAGATGAATGGATATTCAGACTACAGAATCTGTAAAGTTATCACCCCAACCGTGAGGAAGGAGCCATCTGAAGATCCAATCAAAACCATCACCTTGCCATACATAGCAGGGGTAACCAAAAATATTTCAAAAATCATGAGCAAACACAAGATCCAGGTTCGATTCAACACAGTACATAAAATTCGTGATCTGATCCCATCTGTGAAGGATGTGATCCCTGACATGCAATACCCCGGTGTCTACAAACTAAGCCATGTCTGCGGCAGTAGTTACATTGGGGAAACTAAGCAACATGTCTCGGACCGTGTTCGTGAACATAAGGCAGATCTGAAACACCTTGGCCGTGGCTGATCATTGTTTTAATGCGGTGGGCTCACACGAAATTGATGGGTACAAACTGAGCAATCATTGGAAGGACGTTATTAACCAGTTTAATTCATAACTGGCTGTGATGTTTCCATCCTACCTTCCGATGTTAGCAATTATTTTCGACTCTCTGATTTTACATGAACAGGTTAAATGTCTCACACTAACACAGCCACCGTCACTCATGTCCTCGATGTGGCGGCGGCTCTGCGATCTTACATTGACATGCTACGTGTTAAAATGCTAATCTCTCACAATACAATGGCCATGTCCACAGCTTCGTCGTCGTGGAGGTAGCTCTCCGATCTTACATTGACATGCAAATTTCTCACTTTAACATCACTAACCCCGCCCAATTCGTTCATGACCCTTGGGCTACACCCATTTAAACCCTTCAAAAAGAGCCTGCCTCAGCAGCTTTCCCCCTCTTTTTTCTCCTGATAATGATTGCTTGTGTTGCGATTGAAACGTAGTGATATTTTTTATATTTTTTATTCACTTTATTTTAAAAAAATATATATTTGTATTATTTCATTGTTATTATTTTTTATATCTACGTGACTTTACCAAAAGACCCAAAGAATATATACAAATACAATTACAATATTTATTTTTACCAGGTAAAGCCCACTGAGTTTATTAACTTATTTTTCAGAAGAGATCTGGCCACAAAAGATAGCTCAATATAGTGGCTTATCGTGTGGCAATGTGTACTTCAAGGAATAGCGTCACGATCATATCACAAAAAACACCGACACCTGTGACAGCAACACTTCCAGTGCCCGGTCAACAACAGGACATTCTGCCTGGCTGAACTCAGCCATGGTCACCCACACGTCTGCAACCTCTATGCAACTTGGGTGACAAGTAGCGAAGTCATACTCGCTATTCAGTAGTACAGCGGCAAGAGTCAGAATTATGCCGCAGAGAGAGGAGCAGAGTGTACCTACACAACACAAAGAGAACAGATGGGATGCAAAGAATAAACATTGAGAAAGATAAGGAGAAAGACAGTTGTGGAGACAAAAATATCACCAACCACAACAACAAAACATTTGTGTGCACACAAAACAATAATTAATCTGGAAAACCAGTCAATGAAGGAAGCCTCCATTTCAATAGGGGATTGCTAGACCTTTACCTTTATATCTAATACAACTTCAGATGGAAGAATGCTCTGTACATTACTACACACAATCATCATAATCATAAAGCTATACCATCGCCAATTACATATTGTTCTAAATGATCACCGTTATAAACTGTAATCAATAATAACGACAGGCATTATCAGCCATTGTCTCCATCACTGTTTATTCCACAGATTCATTTATTCGTCAGGCATATTAAGGGAAGCACCATTGCGTCAAACGTGTGCAAAACAGATTAATACCTTTGATTTAAAGCTTTCGTGACTGCAGGGATTCATATTCTTGGTTCTTTTGGTAAAGTCACGTAGAAGGGAAACAATAAAATAATAAAAATATAAAACAATATATTTTACTTTACCGAAAGAACCAAGAATAAGATGAATACCTGATTAAACAAATAAACCTGACTATATGTTATAAATTCACACCACTATAGGATCTACATATTCTAAAGTTTCACAACATTGTATACTCTATATATTTTCACCACTATTAAATATATTTACATTATCTGTAAACATTGGTGATCGCTGCTATATACTGGGTAAAGGGTGGTCCAGATGTGACCCCAAATAAATTGACCCCTAACATTGTCTTTTTCCTTTGCATTTTCACTTATGTTTTAAATAAACCTTGCTTTAAAAAAATTTAAGGTGTAGAGATTGAAATTAGGGTCACAAGACATCTGGGCCACCCTGTATATTTGCCACAATGTAGACATGACACCTTCCCCATCTCCCCCACCCCCACGCTAATAGCATGCGGGTGTTAATGGGAGAAAGGATGTGGCAGATGTGCCAAGCCTGCTGTAAACTGGACTGGTGAACACGATATAACAGGCTTGAATGGACACACCTATATTACCACAAACGGATTTCTTTTCACATCCACAGAGATCTGCCTAATCAGTTGATCGTGTCCACTGGGTTTTAATCCAGTTTCCCAGTGAGCCTTTAAGCTTGTTGCATAAGGCCACTGGATCCAAAGGAGCTTATACGCTAACGGGCTGGTAAAAAGTCACTCATGCAGAACGAAGCTCAACTCTGTCATTTCCGATGGCACGAGGTGTGGTGCCATTTTAGTTTCGCAGCCA